TCATAGTGGCGTACGGCTCACAGCACAGGCAAAGTCAGCTGAAAAACATCTAGGCCGATCAAGGATGAAATGGTGGCTTCATATAGTTGATCTAATGAAAGATATCACACCGACCCAAAAAACTTTGGTTTCATATAGTTGCACTCAGCCATTTTTTAACTGCCATTATCTCTTGATCAGACCAGTCTCTTTAACCCTCCTAGATCTAAAGCATTAATGCCCATTTTGCAGATCTTCACAGCATAAATGTGCTTTCCAGCCAACTTTTTGGACTTTCATGCACAAGAAGATCCAGCATTTTGTCAAGGAGGTGCATCCACAGGCAATTTAACAGGTGCTTCCTGGCTGTGAGAGCTGCAAAATACTATCTGGGACATGCCTGGTATCTCTTCTTCCCTTGCAGCACGTAAAACATTTGCTCCTTTCTTGGGAGACAGCAGGAGACTTTACTGCAAACCCAAAGCCCTTGACAAGGACACACCTGCTTAGTGACTGCACAAGCCCACACAGTAACCTGCAGATACAGCTTCTCAAATCTGCCTTGTTTCGAGTCCAGTGCAAGATCACTCCTAACGGGGTTCTTGCACATTAGCCTCACTACAACTGAGGAGACCTATGCAGAGGGGCTTCGTTCCCTGGACAGATATCCCACCCCTACACAGAAAGGAGAGGGCCATTAGCCATACTCCACCACAGTTGCACAGCTAAGGGTAGAAAGATAAAGCAGCACCCCCAGGCAGCTTAATTTCTCTCTCACAGCTGTCTTAGTGGTGTTCAAGGTGGGTGGGAGATCCCACAGCAAGAACTGATTGGTGGAACACCCCGTGCCCCAGCAGCTGCATTACCATGGGAAGGACCTGGCCCCATTAACTAGTGGAAAGGCCTGGGTCTGACAGCTGTGCTGACCCACACACAACCCAAGAGATTTACAGGGTTTGGTAGCTGACTCTGCAGCACGTTCCTCCAGGAGCGAATTGGCACTAAAATGCAGAGCTCAGGGTCAGGGCTGTAGGTTGTAGCTGTATTGGTCTAAGGACATAGGCAGAGGGTGTTTGTGCCCAAAAGCTTGCTAAGAAGAATTTTTCCAACTATTTGAGTTTGTCTAATAAAAGATGTCGGCTTTACCCCAACAACTTGGGGTCAGACTCTTGTAACAGGTACTCATCCCAGGGGTGGCTGTGACACCCCGATGGCTGTTCAGCCCTGGTCTAGTCTGGTTCTCCTTGGGCACTCTCCTTCTTTCCTGCCATGGCTTGATGCTGTTATCTCTTAGAATAAGGGAGCCTGCCCCAGGGCTTCCCCAGTCAGCTCTCTTCTCGTGAACACAAGTGTCTGTGCTCATTTCCTTCAGGGCTAGTTACATGGCTCCAACTGCCCTTACACCACACCCAGGCCTTGCAGGCTGAGTGTCCAATGACTCCCTTGTTGGGCCTTGGCCGTCTCAACCTCCTTCCCTTTCCTTGGTTTGGCTTTCTAGCTTGGGCCCACTGTACTGGACCTGGCTTCTTAGGCACCAGCTCTTGTCTGCATTATTTTAGTTCTGGGCCCCCAAGCTCTGCCCTTCTCTGGGGTCTGGGCCCCCCTGGCCCCAGTTTATACCTTAAGCCTGGAGCCTGGCAGGGCTTAAGGCAGTTACATGCCCCTCAGGCACTAATGGGACCTCCAGCCCCAATTAGGCCCTTTCCATACTACCAGTCATACTGTGACAAAAACTTCACCAGCTCCAGATATAGCTAATGACAGCAATAGCCTTCTGTCTTGCAGCATGACTTCCCCTTCCCGGGGTTGTGTTGCTTTGTAAGGCACTTATATTTGACTGGTAGTCCTCTTGCTGCTTGAGATAGGCATTGCCCTCTTGGCTTCTTGTGGGCGGCCCAGCCTGGGGAAAGCAGCCATAGTGCAGGTCTCCAGCTGCCTATTATGGCTGTGCGAGGTTTCGGATCCGGAGAGGCTTCAGATGCTTTGGCCGCCGAAGTATGTGCAGATCGAAGCACTGGCTTCGTTAGGCTTTCCGAAGCGCTTTGGAAAAGATCCGGCCATAGGGTATAATGGGGAATCAATGAAATATCTAGAACTTTGTTGTTTTTTGTCTGATTTGGATGAAACCTGCAGAGGTGGTAGACTCTGCTGAGAGCATGAAGACTGCCCAGGTTCAAGATCGGTGCAGGGGTTTGGGGGGAACTGCACCCCAGATTCTTGAGAGCAAAACTCATGTCACGTGTATGTTACACCATGGGGGGGGGGACTGCAGGAATGATGGCCCTTGGTGAAGCCACAAAGCCTACCAGGTTTTAAGGTGTTAGGTGCAGGGGTTGGGGGGGGAACTGCCCCTCAAGCTGCTGACAGGCAAAACTCATGACACAGATGACCCTGTGTGTGTTAAGGCGCAGCAGGCTGAAAACTGCAGGGGCGATGGCCACAAAGCCTGCCAGCTGTCGAGGAGCTCAGTGCAGGGGGCTTCTGGGGCCCTGCGCCCCTAGCTGCTGACAGACAAAACTCGTGCCATGGGTGCTTGTGGGACTGCCTGTGTCTGTCTTGGGGCAGTTGATTGTCTGTATTGCAACTGACAGCAGAAAATGACCCGTAATCTTTATGTGGTGAGGTTAGTGTCTTGTAAAATCTATTTTTATGAGCAGCTGTAAATTATCTCTCAATACACCCTCATGTGACCGTTTCTTATGTCCTCACAGCTGCCAACACTTTCCACTGATTAATACGCCACTACCCCATGCTTATTATTTTTTATGAACAAACTCTTTAAGCAGAGTGTGCAGTCATGTCAAGTACGGGAAATAAATCAGAGTAATTGGTTAGCAATTAGTGCAAAGTAACCAGTGCTGAAAAAGTGTGCACTGCTAGTAGTAATGGAATGCTTTTCCACAAGCTTTTTTGCAGCCCGTTTTCCCCACCACCTCTTGTCTGCCCAGAACAGACGTGGCCTGGACCATGCTGTGACAAGACCTTAGGGGTCACGGTACTCCCAGAGATACACCCTGGGTTTCCATGAGCTGCTTGGTCCCACCCTGCTGAAGGGGCATGCCCGCGTTATTAATTTGCCACATTTTACCACAGCACTTTGGTAAAGTAAGACGAAAACAAGAGGGTTTTCTGCAAGGAAGAACAAATGGTATAAAAAAAGAAAAAGGCAATCAATTGCTTTGACAGTGGAATACAGTAAAGCAAAACTGACAGCAGCTTTGCCCTGTGGGTGGACTCCCACGTAGCCCTCCTAAAAATTCCTCTGAAAATCTCCAGGGGTCAATCACGGCCAGCTCCCTCAGTTGGGGACCTCCAGTTTTCCTCTCCTCACAGGGAGCCCTCTCTCTCCTGCCACCTGCCCACATTTACCTTCTGGGGAGCCAGAAAATCCTTTAAAGTGTTTCTGCCTGTGGATCCATGACCCAGGCCTGTTTGTTTACTATCTTGTACAAGATAGGCATATAGGGCGTGTCTATACATTCAATTAATGTGCTTTAGGTTAATGCACATTAACCTGGCCTAGGTTAATGCGCATAGTCCCTCTATTGGGAAGTACTAAAAAATGTGCATTAGCCTATTTTAATGCACATTAACTAAACAGCATGGATTTTTTGCGGCACTTTAATGCGCATTAATGTAGGCTAACGAGCATTAAAGTGCATGTGTAGATGCACCCATATATACACACCCACAAGAGCACCTTGGTCTAATTGGGACTGTGCTTCTGCGTGGTAGGCATAATTTATGTCATAGCAACACATAAAAGCCTACTAAAACTAGTTCCAGGAGTTGCCCTAATGCATTGTAAGGGATAATCCTAGTCTCATGATGCTTCCAGTCCACATAGGCATGACAGAAAAAAGGAAATTTGAGTATTATGGACAGATTTCAAAGCTGGGGAGGCTTTGTCATAGTCATACTGGGGGACTGCAGCAGAGCTAGGAATTGAACCCACAGTCTTCAGCTGCTGTTCGTTTAATAAACTCATGCCCAACCACCCTCTAAATATAAATATTAAATAATGACAGTAATCCCAGGGAGAACCAAATCCAGCTTCTGTCTCATGGAGTCATGGCTAGCAATATAAGAATCCCATGTTAAAAGCATGTAAATGTCTATACCCATTCAGTGCATAAATGTTCCTGTGCATGAACTTTCTTGATCAGGTGAAGGCATATAATATTATGTATCATTCATTATTCAGTAGTGTCAGTGTTATGAAACTTTCTCATCTTAGAGTGAATGTTTGCAAAAAATATTAACACAAAGAAGTTGCCGTAGAGATAAGCCTGGGAAGCTGAGCTCTGTTGCAGGTGAGTTAGCTGAATAAGGCTTGGTTTCAACATGGGCCACTTCTCATTTGCTAGGTTTCAAGTAGACCTTACGCCCTACCCAAAACCAGCATTTCAAAGGGCTCCTATATTTACAGTGGGTTGAAACATTCCCAGATCCCAACATCTCTAAATGTAGGAGCACTGGAGAATTGTGTGAAGTCATCTTTAACACATTAGAATTATCTTGAAAATTTAGAGCAGAACCCACTCAAATAACCAAGTTTCACAAGGTTTGGTGCAACACCACAACACAAAATTGCGGGGTTTCACACGATACTAATGCAACATGCACTAATGCATGATACTAATAAAGCTACTCCTAGAATCTATAGAAAGTATAGGATATTCCTCTAAAACACAGTGAAGTCACCCTTGAAAGTCTGGCTTGACAAATCATTTAATGAAGTTTGGCTGTTTTAGATCTGTAATGTAATGAAACTTGAAAGCAAGAAGAGTGAACTAGTTCTATGTTTCAATACAAAACTCTGCCAAGCTCTAATTATTGGCCTGTTTATACTATCTCTGTAATTGCTGTGCATGTTACATACTGCACAAACTGCATGGGACAAAGAAGTTGCCCATTTCCATTTGTGTAGTGAAAAGCCTCTGTCTGTAATCAGAAAAGAGCCAGGTGATGTTTCCATTTCCGCCCTCTCTCACACACACAAATGACCGACAACAGTGTAGTAATAGAAATATATTGGTGTTATTTGTAACCATGGCACTACATATTGAAAATCATGTCAATTCATTTTCTTAAAAGAACAAGAATAGAATAAGCCAGCACGGATGTAGCATATCCTTCTCCTGTACTGCCTAATTTTGTTGCAATGTATTTCTGGAAAAAATAATCTTCTGACAGTGACTGTAGCATCACAACAACTTGAAAAAGCTGGAAAGATAAGAAGGAGTGAAAAACACTGAGCCTGGTTTTGATCTCAGCATGGTGTAAATGAGGGGGGTCTGTCCTCTGACATCAATGGAGTTAGACTGATGTGAGATCAGTATGAGATCTATTGTATATTTTGTGCCCCAGCCTACCTTATGCAATGAGAATACATGACCCCAATACAATGCGTTTCACCCATAGATCTCAAAGCACTTTTAAAAAGGCAGCTAAGTATTGAGATCCCCATTTTACAGACAAGGAAACTGTGGCACAGAGAGGTGAAGTGACTTGCCAAAGGTCACACAGCTGGTCACCAGCAAAGAATGAGTCCTTATCTTGCACCCTATCCACCAGACCATGCTACCCCTCTAATAGGCAAATACAATTCCAATTTCATCTACGTGAGCACTAGCACACTATTTAGATACAAAAGGTTTGGGGTGATTGCCATACAAGTCAGTTCACATTAACTGTACAAGGCAAAATCATAGAAAACAAAAGGAAAAGGAAAAGGAAAAGCTTTATAGAAATAATACCAATTTTCAGCAGTTAAACAGACGCTACTTCTTGTCAGATCCGATTGTTCTGCAATAGAATATAGTCTTTAGGCTGTGTTTTTCTTGTTCGTTTATTATTATTTTCAGCCTTCATGGCTTTTCTAAATACTATTTTCAATATGTATGTTTTTAAAAAAAATATTTCCTTTACAAATTTGTTAAAAATAAACTTGTCCTAAAAAGCTGTCCGGCACCATTCCAAAAGCTCTTGTAACAAATGTTCATTTTCTTTTTTTTCTTTTTTTTTTTTAACAAAAATGTCTACCCTCCTGTAGATAAAATCAAGTTTTGACAAGAACTACAATACAGCCAGAATTGTAGATTTGAGGGCCAGATTCTACTCTTGCTTCATTGTTGTTCATTAAGAGAACACCACCGACTTCAATTGTCATCACTCTGGATTTATACCACAGTGATTGAGCAAAATATAGCCCTTAGTATTTCAAAATGATTCATACCCTGATTCTGCAGGTAAGTCTTTAAGCCTGGGTGAAGTAAATGAGGAGGGGTCCACATGGATCAGCTTGAAGGATCTGGTTGGCCAACATTCATAACTGATTATGTTATCTTGCCACAGTGGGAAAGCTCTCCTCATATCTAACCCCAGATCCATGTAAGGCATTTTTTTCATAATTTATTTAATACTAATTAGTCAGAGAACAAATTATTTGAAGTAGATCCTTTGAGAAACGTGAACCCATTTGGCTGAACAAACTCCATGGCAATCTCTGCTTTACAGAAACAAAATGTGATCCTATATCCAGTGAAAAGGCTGATAGAATCATTGCTTTATAATAGGGATGGACAAGAGAAACCCCAGATATGAGTATATTCTTGCTCCCTGTTCATTAAAGCAATCTTATTCAGGGCAGTAGGTAAGCAGGCGCTTATCTAAAAACATATCATTAAATTCTAGTAATGTGAATAAGGCTTCAGCACATCCCGACTCAGGGATTTTAGGCTGAAAAATGATCCAGAGAAAATTTTACACTTGGCATCATCTCCAATAATGTATATATTCAAGGGCAAACTCTCTAATAATGTGTGTATTCAAGACAGATCCTATTTTTCCTCCTCTACTTTCTGAAAGCAAACCACAGTATTAAGTATGAATATTTTAATTGCTCTTTTTGTATTTCCTAATGGGACATGCTTATACTCATACTTCAAACCCACTTGTAATGAGGCATGCATTGAGCTCCATAATTCAGACTCAGATCAACCCAGATTGCCAACTCCATAGAGACTGGGGCTTTTTAGTTCAGGAGAAGGGACCAATTTTTGAAATGCAAAGCAGCTCTCCATGTTTGGGGCTGTGCAATTCCCAGGTTTTGCTTCATCCTTGTGTCTCTTTGTAACGAACATGGGTATCATGAAATTCTGGTTATGCAGAAGCACAATGAAAGCACCGGAGTATTTCAATGCACTACTATTCCAGTTGCAATTCTAGTTGGAGTGACCCCCTGTTTATAGTAGTCAAGTTATTCAGGTGAGTAATGAAAGCCAGCATTGTCCTGGGACTTGAATGATATGGTAGAATAAAGATACTGAGATCCAGCATTAGTAAATAAGGATTGTCTTTGCCTCATTGCATCAAAAAGCACAGAAGAACGTTATCATTTGTAATTGTACATGGCCAAATGTACTGGGTGGGTAGCTGCTCTGCAGCAGCCAGTGATCGAGAGGTTCCCTTTGTCGTTAAGACCTAGAACAATATTGGCTTACGTAAAACATTTATTTGCTTCAGTGAAGCCCAAAATCAGTGTCATTGGCTGAAGGGTGGATATTTATATCCAGAAAATGCTAGCCTTCTGGTACTACTCTGTCAAGAGCTATGGACTATTTTGACTGAACTTTGTCATTCTATAAGTTGAAGAGTTTACCAGAATCTCCCTTTTACCTAGTCCTAGTGAGGAAGATATATGATTGCTTTTGTATTTCCAACTCAAAGCCCTGCAATAAAGTGGATCCTTTCTGGAGTGTAGTTACAACAAGCTAGTAAGCACTTATAGCCATTCAAGAAGGCAACCTAAAGGCTGTCAGAAGTTAGTTTTTCTTAAAACACACAACTTCTCTCCACATCCCTTCCATGTCCTCTTCCCTTCAACTTTGAATGCAAAGACTGAGTAAACATCACTGAAATGTCCAGTTTCATGGTCTCTTGGTTAGAAAGGGAAGTCCAGCCGCAATGTTCTCAGAAGTGCTTTGTGGTTTCCGCCATTGACTTGGTTGGGCCATTATTAATTTGTTGGATTTAGTTCACATATTTAAAGCACTTCCATTTCTTCTTATTTCTTTTATTTTCCCATTATTAACATAAAGAGAACATAGACAACGTTCAGCCCTCACTTTCTTCATCGTCTTCTTCCTCACCCTCTTTATTAGGAGCACATCTTTGGAAGCAATGCACCAATGCTGCCAAGAAGAAGCTTGATAGAATAGCAGCAATGGAGACTGCAACTCCAGAGAAAATGATGATAAAAAGGTCTGTTAATGATAAATTAAATTTGCATTCACTGAAGCTAACATCAGATAATTCATTCAGAAAGATTCTTCTATTTTCCACAGGCAGGGAACACTGGATTTCATGGAGACCTGCAAAGAAAAAGAGAAGACATCAGAAGAGCACTGGCCAACTACGCAGCTGAGGAAATTAGTAGCAAGATCACTCTATATTCTCAAGTTTGTAGTCAGCATAATTAGATAATACCCAAAACTAATATCATCTGATGGCTGGGATATGGTCTAGTTCAGATTAGTTTGGGATAACTCAAACTACTTCCCAGTGGACAAAAAAGCAATATTCAATGTCTATTGACAAACTCCGCAGAGATGGCAAGGACTGGATGGATCTATTATTGTTTTATCTTTTTCTTCCAGGCCAGGTTTGAGACATACTAGAGGGTCTAGGTAGGGAAGTTTGCCACCGTAAAAAAGTACTGGGTTTCAGTCTTCAGGCTATGTGTATTGGGCATGTTTCATGATTACTATGTTCACCATCAGAAATAAAATGAACATTGTCTTAAATGCAGTCCTCACAACCTGGATCATGGTAACAATGTTTATGTACCGTAAGATAATATTGTTATCTAGAGCAGTGGTTCTCAACCTTTTTTGTACAAGGGCCCATTTGCAAACATTGATGGCCAGTCCTGACCCAGTGCCCCTCATTCCTGACCCGCTGCCCCCCACCCCCAGGAAGGGGGGGGGCCATGGGGAACCCTAAGCAGCCCCTTGCAGGCTGGAGCTCTGCCATCCTGCAAAGGAAAAGCCACGGTTTCCCATGTTTTTCTCATCTAAAGAAGAATCCGTTTTTAAAGTTTGTTGATCCATTTTTAAAGTTTGTTCCCATCCCTTTCATATATTCTTGCAACCCATTTTTGGGTCATAAATTCATATATTATAGAGTCAGAAGGTACCAAATGGATCATCATGTCCAACCCTCTGCCCCAGCAGGAAAGAGGACCGAGGTTGGACAACCCCAGGTTGAGAAATGCTGATCTAGAGGAAGAAACAGGTGTTTTTTTCCCCTTTATGAAACAATCCCAACCAGGAATGAATTTCCTTTGAGTACAAATTACACCCATGCAGAGGGTCTGCACATCTAGATCTGACCCATAGCTGACACCACCTAAATCCCAATTATGCCCTGCTTCGAGGGTTTAAATGAGACTTGAATCACGCAGATGCCCTGCACTAGCACTAGCTTTCTATACAAGAGGAAATTCTCTAATCATTTTACTGGAAACAAGTCTTTGTCCCTGTTAGCCGGAAGACTTGCTGCCTGCTACACAAAGCTCTTGTCCTAGGAGAGGCAGCTGCACACCTTTCTACCTTCCCTTCTACCTCATCAAGGATAAAAACATGAGGAGGTTTTTCCTTATGATCAAAACAACAGCTTAGGTTTAACTGGTGCTTGTTTAACTCTGTGATCTGCTTTCACCTTCTCCTCATGCTCTGTTATAAGAGATGCAGCTCAGCTGATATTATTCCTGCATGCATTATTGAAGAATGCGTAGAGCTGGGCAAAAGCGTCAGGTATTTATAGTGAAAGCAAGAAATCTGAATTCAGAAAGTAATGCAAATATATTTGGACACTAACAGCCAGGACACAGCAGTAAAAGAAATTGGTCTCCCCCAGCAAAGTAAGTAGAATATGGTGAATATTTTAATGGGGCCAAGGAAGGGTGTGGATGAAGCAAAAGGTAAAGTGAGTGAACTCGTCAGGGCCCTTAGCATGACAGGTTCTACTTGGCTATTGAAGATATGAATGTAAGGAGGAAATACGAGAAATGTGTATTAATGACCAGAGATCTATAGCTGGTCTATTCGATACGCATTTCCCTTTGTCTGATGCTGAACACAGGAGGGCTAGAAAGGAAACCAGCCTTTCAGTTTTTGATTCTGCCTTACAGAGATGGATGCTTTTCTGGTGCAATACTGGCTCCTGCATCAACATAGCCTCACGTTGTTAAGGGAACTATGATGATATGGTTTCTCCTGTGGCTGGGAATCCCTATTTCATGTAAATAATGTCTAGCTTTTCCTCTGTGCTGGTCTTGAGTGGTCGGCGTTAGTAATCTAGGGCAAGATTCAGAGAGGTGCTTTACACACCTCCAACTTTGGCACCACAATGGCCAGAATGTAGGTCAATAACAGGCTGATACAAGGAAATATTGATCGCTATTAATGAGGCACTTTTAAAGGTCAATTTACAATGAATGGAGAGAGCTTTGCACCTCAAACACCCAGGGCATGTCTCCATATGCACTTTCATGCACATTAGTTTATTTTAATGTGCATTAAAGGCTCGTGTAAAAAAAATACTTTTTATTGAATGTGCATCAAAGTATGCTAATGCATATTAAACATCAATTTAAAAAGTTTGCGCTTTAGTTAATGTGCATTGTCCAGGCTTCATGCACATTTTCCTTGTACCTCATAATACATGTACTAGATGTAATGTGCATTAACTAAAGCAAATTAATGCATGTGTAGAAATGCCCCTAATCTTCTGTACTCCTCTGGGACAATGTGGCCAACAAAAACCAGAGCTGGAGAACTAGAGAAAAAGCATTTTTGGGCTGTGGGACAGCCATAAATGGATGGGTGGCAGCCTAGAGCTAGCCAACAGGAAATGCTAAATTCAGGGGGTTTGCTCCACTCCCATCCCTCTCTGGAGCTTAGAGTGTGGCACATTTGGCATTGCCACCTGCTCTAAATTGAGAATACAGTCATCTTCTAAGGGTACGCACCTGACTGAACAGAACTCACTCTGCTTAAAAGGCATGGCTGGACTGTGGTGCCCAACTTCTGTGCAATGGGTAGAGCCCTTGAATAGAAAACAGGAGACCTGGATTCTAGACCCTCCCTGGATTTGTCAAGGGAAGGGATGGAGTCGGACCCATGACATCTCCCACTTCCTACAGGAGAACCCCAACCAGCAGGCTCTGCTAGCTTTCTGCACAAGAGAAAATGCTGTAATTGTTTTGCTGGAAACAGGTTGTGGCTCCTTTTAGCCAGAAGACTTTGAGTGGCAGAACCTTGCAGTCTTCTTTTCAAAGCTAAGTCACTGTGCAGCCAGGGATGTAAGAGCCAGGGGCAGGAGGGAGAGCAAACAAAAAGGATCCTGCATATAGCCTAGTGGTTAGGGCACAGCCCTGAGGGAGTCTGACTGTGGCTCAGTCAGCTAAATTCCACCTAAATCCCATTTTAAGTGCCAAGGCTGGTTCTTTGGAATTCACTTCTTGATATGATTGACTGTCTGGATCTAGCCCTGCTGTTACATGCTAGTTGCCCACTTTGAAGGTAGTAGGGGAGGAGTTAGGTTAGGGTACATCACAGGCTTATTTTTCACAGTTTTTCAATTTTTTTTTTTAAAAGAAATGTTTTGTGTTCCAAGCCAAATCAGCCCAATCAAGTCCAAATCCATGAGTCAGTGCCAAACCTTAAGTGGCCCTACAACCGGCAAACATCTTCCACCCCCACCAGGGGCTTCAGATATTTCCAGTGTCTTTTGGCAGGCATCCTATGTGCAGGCCCAAGCCTGGGGTTCAGATGCCCTCAAGTTTCTCCTGCCTTCAGCCATACGCCTGCAGGAGAAATCTAGGGAGGAGCCTCCTATTTCCATAAAATGGGTTTTAAGTCCCAATACCCCGGCGGGTACTAAAGCACTCCAGAAGAACTGTTATCCTGGAGAGGACTTAAGGAAAACTTCCTTCATGGACCCAGATACAGATCCTATAATTTTAGGACTTTGCTCTGGGAAATTGTGGCTACAAAAACTCAGCCTGGCACCAGCTAGTTCTTCCATGTGTTGGTGCCTTTGCAGCTCTCCTCTTCCCTCTCCTCCACTACACAATACACAGCTGCCATCACAAGAGGATACCAGGCATCTTGCCCATAGTTCTCCAGCAAAGGAAGAGTCTGAGTCATTTTCTCAAGGCAAAATGCCACCTGAAATATGTGCCTCACGTTTCTCTTGAGCCTGGGGTGCTGTAGCCTATGCAGGCTGCTTGGCTTTTTGTACCTATTAAAACCGTTCTGTCTGCATGGTTGAGGAGGTTGAGGAAGTCAAAGTTCTCGACATCTTCACAAAATTGGAGCTGTCCTGCATTCACCGCACACATAAAGGTTTCCTTAAAGCTTGTGCGCACAGGCTGGCAGATTGGGACACCCAGGGAACGGGAGGAAGGTGGAACTGAATTATAATGTCTGTGACTGCGGAGGACAGCCAGGGAATTTACGGGGTAACGTGCTGCCATTTCACAGCTCATGGTGGAGGTTTCTCTACGCCCCAGCCTACCGCAGAGATCTCCATAATGCACAGCCTGTTTCCTACATCTGTGCTTTGGGTCAGTGACAAACTTCAGAGAAACATCCCACATGGTAACAATAAGAGTGAAAAGCAAAACAAGAATATAAGGACTTCTCCTCCCCCAAAATCCCTTGCAAAAAAAAACCAGGAGCAAGAGAAAATGTAGAGGTCATGGCTGTGAAAGACCTATATCTCTCCCTTTCTCTTCTGACAGATTGCAAAGCAATGAGTGGGGTTTTTTTAAATAAAAACATTGTAATGTATAGAGGCCACTGCCAATTTTCAACTGACAAAAAGAGGGAAAGAGATGTGACGCAACATCACCTGGATCTACTTCCGCCTCCTGGAAATATCTGCCATTTCTGCAGTTGAGCGGATCTCAAAGTGGCCTCCTCGGTCATCTACAGACTCACGGATGGCTTTCCTATTTACTGGAAGACTCATCCTCGTATTACGGGTCTGCCATCACCACCGACTAGTTTGTCACAAGCAGGTATTTTTGTTATAAATCAGGAATACAGAGCAACTATATTATGTCTTTGTGGGGTGCCTGCTAGGCTCATTTCCATCTAGCCACCTAGTCTTCTGTACTCCTCTGGACAACGCAGCCAACTAAATCCAGGCCTGGAGAACTAAAAGGAAAGCCTTCTTGGGTGGTAGAACATCCTAGCAGAAGGGATTAGATGCTTTTGCTAATAAACTTCTAGCAGAAGGAGAAGGTTTTATTATTAAAAATGAGCCTACTCAAACTACTACTATCTAGTTTCCTAGATTCCTA